CAGCAACCAACCAACCCAGTGATGTCACGTTCTCTACTTAAACTAGTTGGCGTTACACATGCTCTAAAAACTTCCATTTTAAACATTTATTTCTTAAATCCAGCTTCACAGACAGAGTCGGATCTGTGACATTCTCGAAAGCAGAGCTCCATGGTGTAAATTAGCCTTTATACATGTAGTCTTTCATGTCTACTTTAATCCGGGGCTGAATTTTGATGCACACGTGGCCACCTTGCCGCTTTGTCCCTCAGTTTCTTAATCACATCCAGTCTAGCCTTCAAAATAGGACCTCATAAAAAGACAAGTTGACGCTTGTGCGTGACTAATTTTGAACCTCATAGGCAACGATCCTGGTGCTCTGTGAAAAACACAGTTGGAAACTTTAGCTTGTCTGAGGTTTAGGGGCACCAGTCTAACCGGATCCTGTTTGCACGGCATTTATGTAACTGCAGAAGTGATAATGTGTGTTGTAATAACGCTGAAACAGTTGCATGACTGTGACTGATATGAGGACTCTGGTCATATTTAATTCAACTTTACCGTTAGTGCTGATATTTTTGAAGCTCTTTGTGAGTGAAACAGAAGGAGTGTGTGAATTTGAATATCTTCCTCACTACAAGAAACGAAATGTTAAATGTCAGCAAATTCTTCTTTTATGAGCCATGCTGTTTAGTTCACTGGAAGACTGTACCACCATAAAACACTTGCTTATCACCAAACTAAGCCGAGCAGTAATGAGACAGGGAAGGCCTTCAACATTCCCCTGTCAGCTTATCTGAGTAAAAGAACAAAACAAAAACACGTAGACTTAGCAACTACTTAGTTTTCTTCATTCTAACAGCCATGCAAAGGGTGCAAGAGAGTACTAGCCTGGGCTTGCATTAAATTTTCTAAGGACAACTCCCAATTAAATGAGCACTTACTGCAAGTTCAAATCAACTCAACTCCCTGCAGATTAGTTAATTAGTGAAAGCACACGCACACACACACAAAAATGCACACCGGTGAACATTGTCTTTGTGTACACAGTGATGAATATTTAACCTGTCGCCCAGCTGCTGAAATCTCCTCTCAGTCTAATGGCACGTGAACCCAAGGAGTTCAACTATGAAGTTAGCCTAATGTGGCTCAACGGTCACGTGTAGCACTCCCCCACCTTTAATCACACAGGCAGCTTTTTTTTCCTTCCCAACTTCAAATATCCAGTACAGGTGCATATGTTTGCACTGCAGCAACTTAAGAATGAATCAAGATGAAACCGACAAGGAAGTGCAGAGGAGGATTACTTTCCAAAGAAAGTGCATATTTTTAGTCGTGACTGAAATATTATAGTCCACAGACACTCTGATCTGTGATTGAAAGGGTGCAGGGTGTGCCTGTGAAAAAAGGACAGTATGTCCATTAAGAGATTTAATTTCTTACCTGGGCAAAAAAGCAGTAATTAGTTAGCATACTAATATGTACAGTGTGTAAGTAGACAAATAACTGGAAAAAAAAAAAAAGAGTACTCCGAGAAAAAAAGATAATGTAGTTTATGTGGCATTATATTAGTTGCCTTTCTGGATCTGCCATATAAATAGCTTGGCGGTTTAATTATTAATAAGCTGTGTGCATCTATTTTAATACAATGATTATATATTTTGTAGCTGTATTGAAAACACAGCTGCCAAATAAATGTAAAAAAATACTAAATAGTGGTGTATTTTATGTAGTGAAACACGCTGGCATAAAAGCAACATGTAAGTAAACTACACAGTACTTTAACAAAGACTTTAACTCTCAGAATTTGTTCTTAATTATTCTACAAAGGAATAAAAGGTACATTTAACACAGTTTCA